ACCTCAGTATTTAAAAAAAAAATAATTCTCAAAGGAAAAAGAAAGCTCACACAAAAGACAACTGACTCCTGCCAGTACTAAACAGCCAAACCTGAAAAAAGCTGAGGCCCATCACCATACAGTGGCACACTGTAAAACACACAGAGTAAACCAACAATGCAAAGCAAGGATTGACAGTTTGTCCCAACCAGGAATAACTTCTGACTGAAGCTGTGACCTCCTGAGCACAGATCAAACCCAGTGGCAAGCATCTGTAACTTCACAGTAAGCAGCACCTAGCACTGCATTTCTGTTTGAAGCAGCAGTGTTGAAAGTACACCCAGAAAACGTGTGTAGGGGAGGAATGTTGTAATTCCATCAGCCCTGTGCATCAACCAGGTGATGCAAATTAAACCATTTACAGAGTTTACTAAAGCTGTGAACCTGGCCAGATATTTAAATAGTACTGTGGGGGGATACAAAAGTATTTCTCTTGTTGATATTATTACTTATTGACCCTTTTTAGCCAGCTCTTTGCTTTTACTTTCATTATTTACCCATCCTCTTCAGTTAGCTCTCCTCTGCATAAGCAGGACCTTATTTTCCAAATAGCAGGACTTACAAGCACAAAAACCAAAGAACTCTGACAACCTATGAAGGCTGGATGCAAGACAATTCTTGTTTACTTTGGTAGGATAAGAACAACTTGAGGCAACAACCAGACTCCAACCCTATTCCAAGCTACCCGTAATGAGTAAGTCACCATGCCATAGATTGCAATGAGATGCACACATTTCCAAACTAAATTGGAATGGAGTTCAGGAAATAATTTGTAGTCATGTCGCCGCCCCCAGCAACACGAAGAGCCACCGATCAAGCACCTCCTTTGCTGACCACCCAGAGACAGCAATTTCACCAACAAGATTACACTTCACACTGTATTACCCCATAGATACCTATAGGTGTACCAGCTGTTATTGCATCACTCACGTCGAACTTTGTTACACATTTCAGGACAGGATTCTTCAGTTTAAAATAACAAGAAAAGCCAAAAACGTTTGGCAGACAATAAAAACAAGCTTGCGTATTTAAGGACAATTATAGCAAAATGCTCTGCGACCACAGAACTGTAGGAAGTCAAGGAAAAAAAGGTTAACATCCTTTGGTTAAACCTATTTAAAGCTACACGAATTAAAAGACTGAAATCCCAAGTTCTGACGTATTTTCCTATACAATTAACTTGCAGAAAGACTGCAGTGAAAACTAAAAATATTAACAAGCCTCTACCCACACACAAGTCACAGGAAATCCAAGTTTCTCCATTCCAGAGGAGCATAATATTCTAATAAGAACTATCCTAATCTTCACCCAGCAATAATTTCAAGATGATATTATTATTCTCATTTCCTTGAATAATATCCATACTCCAGGGCCATTTTCCTTCTCATATTCAATATCATGCATGCTTGTATCAAGATTCCTTTCTTCATATCCTGTCACAGTATCAATCACTGCCTCCTGTCCACTCAATCCACTTTTGATTTATCAGCCGCTGTCTTTCTGGACTCCATAACTCGACCCAAACCATTTTAGCAAGACATTGACAAATAGCACCCAGTATCACATCAACCTGTTCCACTTAGTAAACTAAGAAACAGTAACTGTGACATCTCTGCATAAGTATTCCATTCTATTCCCCAGACTGATGTATATTAATGAGGAGATGGTATTTGAAATGCTTCTTCCACATCAGCATCTAATATGATCAAATTAGGAAATGGGATGATTTATTAAATTTCGCAGAGCTGAAATATTTCTTTATATCACTCTATGTGTGGTTTCAGAAAGTGAGCTGTTGCTTTCAATTTTTCTACTGAGGATGTGCCTGCATTTCACAGACGAATTATTGTCTTTAAAAAGATTGCAAGAAGGCAAAATGTTATTAAGCAAATGCTCAGTAAAACAAACTAAATTGGTTTTAAAATTCCTAATTTAATGTAAATCTTGGTTGTTTTGCTGAAATTCAGTTTGTGATCTTATTAAGTCATATTTGCATTGTACTATCTTGCTGTAGGACAGCTTCAAATTTATAGCATTACTAGCAAGACCCACTTTTTTGACTCTAAAAAGATGCATCTAAAATAGTCACAATCCACACAAGTTTTCTTACCTTCTGAAATCTGAGCTGATATTTTGTGCTTCATTTTGTTAAGTGGCACATTTTAAAAAGGTTCTGAGATCATCACATATGTTGTGACTTATCAAATGAAAGCCTGATACTTCAATATTTGGGTATTTCATTCGAATTAAATACCTATGTTAGAAAAGCTACTAAAATTACACCACAGGTACACATGCTTTCACAAACACGTTCACCATCTTGAAAAACAAACTGCCTTTGTTTGATGGAGGACTGGAGGGAGAAATAGGAAGACAGTTTGCGATACCTGCATGACTCACACCAAAAATAAATCCAGTGATTTCACAATACAACGTAAAGAATCTCAACTTCCAACAAGAAAGTGGTTTTCGAGCGTCAGACCCAAGTGGCACTGGAAAACACAGTTGCTCAAGTCCCAAAGGCAGCACTTGGGAAGCACAACAGCAGCCCTACAAATAAGAGCAGCACAGAGCAGAGCTTTGCTTTATTGTAGCATCTCACATTGCTGCCTTGCTGGCGGGTCAGTAGGTTTTATTTCCCATCAGTCAACCCACAGGCAGGGTACCAAGAATCCAGCAGGTAACATGTTCTTACTACACAAACAGGAGCTGGATGAGTTACCTGTAATCATGTCATTCGCTACTTCACTCAAGTGCTTTCTTTGGTGCTTACCTTCAAAGGTGATATAAAAAAATGCTGTCTCATCCCAAGCAAAAATGGATCACAGGTGCCAAATTCATACAAAAATTGCACCATGACTTCAGCACTCCATCCTGTATATTGCCCCATTGCCCACGACAAATCTTGTCTCTCCACTACAATAGATTCTGAAGGATTTTTCTTGCCTTTTTTCTTTAATCATTTAAAATGTGGTATCCACAACATCACAACATCCACAACAGCAAGAACTTCTGCAGCTTAATTGCATGATGTGCAAGAACTCTATTTAACTAGAATCTGCTTCACTTGATGCCTGCCCAGGATCTTACATTGAAGGAGTGCTGTTCATTCCCTCCTTTAATCATCTTTTCACAACCTTTTTTTTTTTTCCATACCCATCCATCACCTTTCCTCTGTCCCCCTTCAAATCTGAGCCCTGAGGAGCCATAATGCACTCATCCAGTCCTCTTTAGAGAGCTGTTCATACCTTCACTCAAGTATACAAGGCAGATTTTGAGTTGGAAGGCAAGGAAGCACTCAGCTTTGTTGCCATTGCCCCTGTACTACAAGCAGGGAGCACACAGGCCCCAGCAGCAGCTTTCTGCAACCTACTCAATTCTTCCCCAGATTAAACCATGGCTTCACAGGGTAACAGTACAAGAGAGCAGACTGCTAAACAGTCCGAATCAAAGATTCTTTTAACATAATTTGAGATGTGACTTAAGAATATTTTCCCTAAATATTTGCGTCTGTGACTAGTAATGCAAAATGACCTGCAGCTATACCAGCAGTAGGACAGGTTTGAAAAGCTAGCATACTTTGTACACCAAATATCTGTATGCAATATTTCCCAGCACAAAATAAAATAAATCACAATTAGGTTTTAAAAGATTTTAGGCAGATAATTCCCATACATTGCAATGGCAATTCACATCAGTAAAACCTTTGGCAAACATGACCATTAGTATATCAGCTACATCTAACTAACAACACAATTTACATTTATTAGAATACAACAGACCTTTCAGAGCAGGTTATCCTGTTTTCTAATACTGAGCACCCGACCTACTCAAGAGCACCTTTGTTGTCACTTGATTCCTTTTCCATCTCACTGTTTTAAAACTGATGCTATAAGAGTGGATTTTTACAGGTGCACTTCTACACAGAACTCAGCAGCTTATCCATTCCACAGCTCAAAAGGTAACTACACTCCAAAAGGGATCAGCTTGTTTAAATAACCAAATTGCCACTACAAAGGCACTGTAGCAATAAGTGTCCAGGCAACTATTATAATGAACAGCTGTGAATAAGTCATGAGAGAATACAAATAGGAAAAGGGAAGTGCTCACATCCTTCAATAATTTTTCAGTAACATTTAGGAGGAATGGCCTGACTGATCTGGCACGAGAAAATAACAAGTCTTACCAAGTTCTTAGTAAATTCTAGGCAGAATTACCCAGCTGCAGATCAGTAAACAGATATTAAAATAAAGAAAGGCTTTCATCTGCCTGCTAGACTCAATAGTGACCTTAAATTCAACACCAGTCCTTATATCCGTGGATCAACTTCATTTAAACTTTGTAATGGACAAATACACACCAAAAAATAGAGTCCCTGCTCATCATAAACTACAAAACAGTTTTATAATACGATTTGATTATGATTTAAATTATGCTTATTATTGAAAATACTGACTTGTCACAATCTGATCCATCAAGAACTGCAGCACCACAATTGTCTTTCACTGTTAAGTGAGAGGTGCACAACTGGGAACACTTCCCCATTTCACAAGAAAAACAGATGAGAAAACAAAAGTTTCATGTCGTCTTCATTGAACCAATATTATGCATGGAGGTGATGGAAACCAGCAATCAAAAAGACAACTTTTGTACCTTGATTTCAGATTACTGCAGTTAAACAAAACTAAGGTGACTTTTTTCTTTTTGCATTTGGCCAAACTCAATACATACAATTTACCATTAAATCCAACTGTGCTGTCAGCTTAAAATAAAGCTATCGTAAGTGCATGAAAAGCACAGCACAGAGGTTTCAATTTAAGAAGATTTTCAAGCAACATGTCAATTAGACCACATGCAACCACTTCTAAGATGCTCACAAACACAGTAAGCACATGGTGACTTAAAATAAATGTTTTTACAATAGAAATAACAGTAATTTCTTTCCTAGAAAAGCACCTTACCTCCTCGTTCTACTTTTTGACCTCGATCTTTGAGACCTGTAGGATTTCCCTCTGCCCCTCGATCGGCTGCGACTGCGTTTCCTTCTGGAGCCATAGGAAGAGCTACTGCTCGATCTGTGCCTGCGCCTGAAACAGACCCATGTTATCAGCACAGAGCTTCTGGAACAAAAAACAGCAGCAGGGAAAGGAACAAACGCCTCACTCAAAATCATGTGCATGCAAAACTATTTCTTGCACTGCAGCATGTCATAAAAGCCTCAACATACACCACTGCTGCACACTAATAAGTAACTCACACATACGTGAGCAAAGCCTGTCCTGAAGAGCTTGCATTCAAAAATATACATCCCAAGGGCAGAAGGCAAAACAGAAGTTAACTGATATGCCCCAAATCACACAACACTCGAAGGGCTAAGCCAGAAACACAGCTCAGCTCTCAATGAACTGCAGTCTCGTGACCAGTGCATTGGAACCCACTGACTCTCTGCCAAATCTGAAGTTAAAGAAACATTTAGACCCACATTCTCAGCAGCACTTACTCAGAAATACCCTGCTTTTCAGTGGAAAGAATTCCAGCACGAGAAATGAAATTCAAAACATTAGCTCCTGCATTGCAGATCTATACAATTATCTCCAGCCATCCAGCAAATCCAGTGCATACATAAAAAGCAAACACATTCTTTTAAAATTACGTACACCTATAAATATTTTCCCTTTATATACAAACAATTGAGTTCTCAACTTTCATAACGTGCAGTCATTGCTCAGATACAGAGACTGTTTATTTTTTTCTCTGCACTCCTCCTTTTTTCAGCACTATTATTAATCAAATAATCAGTATTAATTTATTCAATCTGAGCTTGGGAGTTTTCTCTTGAGCTCTACCAGAGGCCAGAATGGTATCTTCTCTCCCCACCCCACTCCCACCTCCATCCCCCACCCTCATTTCATTTATTCAAATAATAAGTTCCTATACACACAGGAGAAAGATGAAAGAATATACAGCAAATACCTACATTAAACCAACCAATCCCACACCTGGTGGGAGGGATGCTTTAAGTCTCAACCTTTCATACAATTTCTTCTCCATCTCACTCATAGCTAAATAACACTTGCAGCCCTTATGAGCCCTTATTTCTGGGCTTCAGAATGCTTAGGTGATAGTAAAGTATAACACCCTATTCTTGTAGCTCAGGGTCTAGTCCATGGGATGAGTGCTCACCTAGCACAAGGGAAAAGGTGTTGCATTACATACAAGGAGTGCTGGACTTTGAGCTAACTCCTAAAGAGCAGGTTTCCATGTGAAAAAGGCAGGCAATGCTCCTGCTAAATGAAGATGAAGTAAAGCAATCTTGGAGACTGCTGGTTTTTATACTTCTGGTCAGGGATAAATCCAGCAGAACCCCAGAGTGTGACAGTCATTTAAGTGCCAGGAGCAAATATCCTAAACTAAGGGCAAAGCAGAGGTGCTAGCCAGATACTAAAAGCAGACACTTTGGTCTTTTCTGGATTCAATTTAAGTCAACTGGTCTTCGTCCAGACTCTAATCTCCCTTCAAGCTCTGTTTTTATCTGTGAGATAGCCATGCCTGCACTGGACTAAAGAGATTCATAAAGCTGCATGTCATCAGCATATTGTTGGCATCAAAGCCCATGTCATCTCGCTGTGTCCCCTAAGGGCTGTATGTAGATGCTAAGCAGGAACAGAAAAACAGGGCGATGGAAAGGAACCAACAAGAACCCCTCCAGTGGCCTGCCTGCCCCTTTCTGAAATACTCCCTTTCCAGCTACAGAAAGGTTGGTCAGGAGCAGCTTCTCATACATTTCTATTACAGCTAGGTGTGATGAGCATCTTCCAGCCCCATCCATTAATAATAATCTGCTCAGTTTGATTCCTGGATCATCTCGAGTCAGAGACAACCAGGATATCTAAAAAGATCAGGTACAGAAAGGGGACTCTGTGATAAAGGAAATACAGTTTCAGGCCAGTGCAACTTGGGTAGATAGAGCCACATCTGTGTTCTCATCACCCCCTGACGACTGTACCCTGGACACACAAAGAATTAGGAAGTGTGCTGGTGAAATCTAGTCTTGGTGTCGCCCATTCTGACGGTTTGGTTTTTAAATAGAAGTGGAGCTGTCGCCACATCTTCCGAGATTCTGAGCAAACAATGAAATTCCAAACCAGAACTGACCACACATGGGATTTGAACGCTTATGTCCCGCAGCATGGGATATGGAAGAGCCCGATCTGCACCCAGCAGCAGCAGCCAGACAAGTACTACATGTGCACCTTTTCTCATACGAATGTGAACGTGACTGCGCATCCCGGGAGCGGGACCTCGACCTCGACTTCCTCCCAGACTTTTTACGGCTGTACGTCCTGCTGTCTGAGGAGCTGCTTGAAGACGAACGCCTGCGGTGCTTCTTCTTCCTTCTGCTTCTGTTCTCTTCTTCTGTGTCCGAGGAGCGACGGCCCATTTTTGAACTAAGGAAAGACAAAAATTCTGAACTGGAGAAACACCCTGAGCCTGCATTTATATACACACACAACAAGTGTGTTTATACAAATACACCCTGACGCCATTTTTAAAGCTACCGTGTAAATAAACTGTTTGGCTTCCACGCAAAACTTAAATCAAGATTTAATTATAAGATCTCAACAAATTTAAGTAATTTGAAATTTATTTGCTCACTATAAGCTCACTGCATAACAGTATAAGCTCACTGTGGCATTAAACACTTGTTCTGAACTCCTACAGAAGATATTTTACAACCATTTAAACATCTAAATGCACTAATAAAATCCATTTTTATATCAGAACATACTTCACCTTGTCTTATTTTTACATTTTTGGCCCAGATATTAATTTTTAAGAAATCTGAGAAGTCATTTACAAGGAGATAATTCTTACATACTCCCCATTAAGCATATTGAAGATGCTGTACTGCTGACTGCACACCATCTGAAGGTACAGTTACAAATGAGAACGCATACTTGCTCAATCAATACGACGTGGTCTATTTCTGTTACTGATGTAACTCGCTTTCAGACTGCACAACTAAGGTAATGTATGTTTTTGTTCTCTTAGCATAATTAAAAACAAACACTGAGAAATCAAATTATCTTCAAATTAATTCATGCTAGAGTTGGGTTGACTTTGGTTTTCAGTTAAAGCCACTCGACTTAGAGCTGCTCTATTCCAAAAATCAGAGCTACAGATACAGAACTGTTTCTTGATTGTCAATGCGTTCATCTGCAGACTTTGACAATTTAATGAAAAAAGGAGGTGGTAAGGGCTGCCATTCATTTAACTGCTATGAAGACCATCACCTTTTGGAACTCCAATCAGCCTCATTGCTTCAGGATTTAAGAAAAGCAGTATTTCTTGACTTTTCAGACTGCAAACTATAACAAGTGCTTTAAAACTGTTCTTCTGTCCCAGCAATACTTGCCCTACACAGCTGAGAACCAATCTCCACGTACATCTTCTCTAATGGCAGCCAGCAACAGGCCCCCCTCCCAAGGAGGAACACTTGTTTCAAGCCTCTCCAGCTACCAAGAAAATAGCAGCTCCAAATTCCTTAACATTTGTATCAACAGCCAGATCATGGGTGTATTTTGGCACAGTTATCAACTGTCTTCAACCAACACTGAAATATTACAGCTCCTCATATTCCAGCATAGAGAAGCTGAGCTGGTTCCTTTCCTGCTTTTGCCCTTCCTCACACCTTCTGCCACCTCTCAGCAGACCCTCATCTCCAGGGTCAGAACTGACAACAGAACAAAGGAGAAACTTGCTGTTAAGTACTTGTTTAAACACACCAAATGTTTACACTCAAATAAAAGCCTCAATTATGCTAGGTCAAAAACTGAGCAAAAAAGCCTGTTCATCCCCACAGGCAACAGCCTCTTCAACTGAAGTTTCCATGTGTTTTGCAGGGTCAATGAGCTGCAAGAATTTCCAAGGAAGCTTTCCAGGTTGTCACCTCTAAAGCACCATAAGCGCATCCAACAGCTTGAGAATGCTCAATATAGGACCATCCCTACATGCCTGGCCCTTCTTTGATGCTCACCACTTTCCTTCCTGCCACAACCCCAACAGCTTCGTGAAGCCCACTGCCATGAAGCCAAGGTTCTGTGGATCAAATAGCACTTCAGCATGCCCCTGAGAGCCACCACACTAAATCCCTTCGCTGCTCTGCAGTTGCAGTCTTCAGCACTTAAGGTCCAACCTTTCAGCTAACAAAGCATTCTTCAAATACTCCAATGAAAAGAGCAGCGTTCCACATGCCTAGAAGGGCAGAACTTCAGGAGGATGAGCTGTTCCGCACCAGCATTCCCCATGGAACAAAATTATTTCTACCATATTACTGAAGTTACTCCTCACAGATTTTGAGAAAGACAAAAGGCAGTATTTTACAGCCTACTTTATCTTATTTAAGAAGATAGGACTTCAATTTGCAGTTCCATAGAGGAGTGACAATTTCTATCAACATACTGCCCTGTGCAGTTATTTCCTCCATTCTCCACCTTCCTCCACCCCCCCCAGCTCAAAGATTTGCAGATACCCAAGGTACCAACAGTTATTATACGGTAAAACAAAGCTTTTCAAATATAGGCTGATAGAACAACCTTCAAATGAAGATGGAGCTGAATCTCAAACTCTAAACAAGCAGAACTGCTCAGAAGGATGAAACTACAATGCTCAGGTTTTAAACTAAGAGCTCACAGACCACAGCTCATGACAACAAGATTAATGGAAGAGACCTGAGAAACACAGAGTACAGAAGACATTTCTGCCAAGATATTTACCACTTGATGTGGATATCATTATGAGCCAGAACATTACACTTCAACATATATTTTGCCTGTTGTTTAACTTCCTTTTTTAACCACAGCCTTTCCCCCAATTTGGGCACATAACTGGATTAAGCAGCATACCAATCTAGCGAAACACACTGCGTAAACCTCAATTTTATGTCTTCAGGACCATAGAAAAGTTGTGTGCCACAGCCCTTCAGGACAAGCCCTACTGCAACACACAGAAGCACCTCAGGGGCTCCAGGAAGCTCTGGGTTTGCAGCAGTTGAGTGGATGAAGGCAGGTGGGTGACTGATGTTCTGCATGTCCTGGAGACCCCACTGGAAGAGAAGTCACCAGAAGCAGACCTGATCCCAGAACAACGTGAGCAGCCAAGAATCTGTAGCTGCCAGCTACAGGGATACTTCAGAAGTACACAGTGCCTGTCAGACAGGCTCATCTGCCACCAGGGTTTTTGGACCACTCCTTCAGCACATCACATAAACTGTCACATGAAGGTGCCTCTTACAAACATAAGAATTAACTGCTTTCAAGCACTAAGACCTACACCAGTCTGGTATCTTCCATGACTGCTGCCTCCTCCCTCCATACTCCAGCACAGACGCATCAGAAAGGACCGCTAGCACCGACTGACACCCAAAGCCTGGCAGAAGGAAGAGTTAAGAGTTGTTCTGCTGGGTCAGTGGTCCACACACCAGCTCCACAAGCAGGACTGGCTGACAGTACCTACAGATCACAGAAGAACTGCATATTGAGGCTCCTAAGTTTTTTCTACCCATCTGTTTCCACACACAGTCTGTAGATCCACCGCAGTTAGAAGAGTGGTGTAAGAGTTCCCCTAACAGCTGCGGGGCCTGATCTCATTTTTGAGGTGCCTCCCCATGTAGGTCTCAGAAGGAGGTGCTAAGCCATAGGTATTTGCAATAGGAGATACATTACTAATTCCTATTTATGTGCAGACAGTGAGAGATGCAGCTCTAGGTGTCTGGCAAGGCACGTGAAGCAGCAGCAGGCTTTTATCTCAACCACAAAGTAGTACGAGGAGGAAGAGGTACATTACCAAGCATTGACAGCAGATAGATGGTGAGACTGACAAGCCAGGTTACTTCCCAGGCACTTGGGGAGAAAGAGACTCCTGACCATCAGTGAGGCTCCTATTTCTAGGTCACTCTGCCCTAACCTTATCAGTAGGATGACTTATTGTTGGATCCACTGCATTTGAAATTGCTGTCCTGAAGCAAAGGCACATTACAGCAACAAACAGGCAGGTTTACAGGTTTTTGGTGTGTTGTTTTTTAACACTTATTTTATTTTAGCCTTTTTGAGAACTCATGCTGCAACAATTTGGTTGAAACAAAAACAAAGCACCTGCTTTCAAACACATCTGCCAAGAGAAACACCAACAACAAAAATTCCAAAACAACTACTTACTTTTGTTAAAGCTACAAACAGTGCTACTAAGCAGCTAAGTAACCAGCATATAAAAACGTAAAGAAAACCTTAATTACTAAGAAACTTCAATTGTAACTGACTTGCAGTAGCCATTTGCATTGTTTACAGAGCAGCTTTATAAATGTATGCACATTAAGTTCTTTACTATGAGAATGGTGAGGTGCTGGAACAGCTGCCCAAAGAGCTTGTGGATGCCCAGTCCTTAGAGGTCAGGCCAGGTTGGATGGGGCCCTGGGCAGCGTGGGCTGCTATGAAATGTGGAGGCTGGTGGCCCTGCATGTGGCAAGGGGGTGGATATTCATGATCCTTGAAGTCCCTTCCAACCCTGGAATTCTGTGTTTCTGTGATTTCCTTAGAGAGAACGAACAGTTCAGGGATGGGCTCCAGCCAGGAAACAATGCTAACTAAAGCAAAACTTATTCTATGTTACTTAACAAACACGATTCTAACAAGTAGGATTCACAGTGTTACTAACAGCAGTGCTGCTCCCACAAAAAGGGAAATTGCAAACAGGCAGAACTCAGTCTGACAGCATGCACATGTGTGTGGTGGAAGGATTATCTGTGCCTCCCACCACCAAGCCTGCAGTTACGCAGAAACTCTTCCTGCTCTGCAGTTCAGAAATAAATGCTCTCAACAAAGAAAAACATTGGATCAGAAGTCACAGTGAGGTGACCTGTTCTTACAGAATCACAGAATTGTAAGGACTGGAAGGGACCTCTAGAGATCATAGAATGGACTGAGTTGAAGAGGACCACAATGATCATCCAGTTTCAGCCCCTTGCTATGTGCAGGGTCACCAACCAGCAGCCCAGGCTGCCGACAGCCACATCCAGCCTGGCCTTGAATGCCTCCAGGCATGGGGCATCCACAGCCTCCTTGGGCAACCTGTTCCAGGCTGGGAAACTGTTCCATTTTTCTAGAATCAGCAAGCAGAGTGGGGCAGAAAGGACGGCAGCACTTGTCCTCACTGCAAGCACAGCAGTAGGCAGGGTGTGCAGCCCAGCATCAGCTGCCAGAGCACAGCAGCAGCTCTCCCTCTCTCATTCTTCCAGCTTCCCTCCTCTCCGAGAAAAGTTACATTTAAAACAGATCTACTGGAAGAGTGTTTGTGTTCCAGTGCATCAGCACCCTCGGAGTGATCACTGAGTCCAACCCCCTATCAAAACAGGCTTTGTACAGCAAGTAAGCATTTAGATAGGTCTTACAAGACAGTGTGTATTTGTAAGTACTTATCCAGGGGGTTCCTTCCCTTAGCCAAGCCTCCAAATTGCTAAAGGAGAAACATCCAACTCACACCTATAGGGAGAGACAGCACAACCAGCTCCTCCAGCTGAAAACACCGAGATAAAACAACCGAACCGCAATCAAGAGAATTCAGCTTCAAACCTCGAGATGTTCAACCTAAACGCAAAGAGAAAAAAAAAAACCAAACAAAACAAACAAACAAAAAAAACATTCTGACCGCTCTGCGGGGGAAGGACCCAGGCCCCAAGGCCCAACCTCACCCCCAAGGCCCTGCCCCAGGCCAGGCCGCAACGTCGCCATGGCAACGGCAGGCCTGAGGCCTAACGGCAGGCCTGAGGCCTACCCCCCCCCCCCCCCCGTACCCCGAGACCCTTCAGCCACCCGGAACCTCCCCCCTCATAAAGAGCCCTCCTGTCCTCCCCCCAGCTTTACCTCAGCCTCCAACAGCCGAGTCGAGGCCTCAGGGCCGAGGTTTTGAGCGCAGAGGCTTCCCGGAGGGAGGCGGGCAGGCAGAGGCGAGAGAGCGCCGAGCGCATCGATGGCGCCAGGCAGTGCTGCGGAGCGCCGAGCGAATGGATGCGCAGCGCGGGGTGCGGGACACGCGTGGGGATCGGGGAGCTTTGGCCGGTGCCTGGGTGCCCCCGAGCCCCCCGCGCGGCCACGTGGCCGCGCGTGGGGCTCTGGGGCACCCAGGCACCGCAGCTGTGGTCTCCCAACGGAGCAAAACTCTCCCACCCGCGAATTTCCACGCGGCATTCCAGTCCCATAACGAATTTTGCACAAGTATGAAGCGAAACACACCGCTTTCCTGAGGGGGGGAAGAAAAAGAAACAAACAACCCAACCCTGCAGTGGGAAACGCAAGCTTTGAGGTGAACAGGGGCAAAAGGACCCCCGACGGGCAATCGGTGCTCCCTCTCTTTAAAGCCATCCCCGTGGAGGTCAAAGGAGGAATCGATACGCGGGCGCGAGTTCAACAATTTTGAATAATTTATTGGCATCCCACCGAAGGTGTCAACAAAAAAGTGCCGCTTTCACGGGATTTAGCCAACAAAGCCCCGACAATGCGAGCCGCAAGCGGCGTCACTTGCCCTAATCCCACGCCTCCACCCTCCTCTGCCCGCTACCCCCTCGTTACACCATCCCCGAGCCCACGGGAGCCCACGGAGGAACTTTCCGTACCCCCGCCCCGCAAGGCGCGATGCGGGCGGAGCGCGGGTGCGGAGGCTGCGCACCCCCCCGGCCCCTCCCCTGCAGCCCCGGCTCCGCGCATCGCCCGCCCGGGACCTCGCGTGGAGCAGCCGCTTAATTAAATTAAATTAGGGCGCAGCGCGGGGCGGGCGGGCGGCGGAGCGCTGTGGCCGCATTGCCCCGCGGCGGGCGGGCGGGCGGCGGAGAAGGAAGGGGTCCATTCAGAGCTCCGAGGGGAGGTAATTCGCCGGGAACAAGGGGCAGGCGTTGCAAAGTATAAATAGTGCCACTTCCAGCGGCGCGACGCTATCAGAGCCCGGAGCTGGCGAGGAGAGCCCGGCTCCGCACGTCGGGCGGAACGGCCCGGTTCGGAGCGGAGCGGCTCGGAGGTCGCAGCACGGCTCGGCCCGGTCCGGCCGCACCCCGCCCCGTGGATGCCCGCCCGGGGGGGCGGCACGGCGAAGCCGGGGCAGCGCGGCGGCCCTGAGCCGCAGCCATGGAGGAGCTGACGGCGTTCGTCTCCAAATCGTTTGATCCCAAAGCGAAGGAGAAGAAGGAGCTCATCACCTACCGCGAGGTGCTGGAGAGCGGACCCCTGCGCGGAGCCCGGGAGCCCGGCGGAACCGCGGCGGAGCCGGGCCGGGACGAGACGGGCAGCCCAGCGGGGCGGGCGGGCGGCGGACGCTCCCCGCCGCGGGAACCCGACGCCGCCGCCGAGAGAGCCGCCGACGCGGCCACCCCGAAGCTGAGCGACGGTAACGGCGGCACCGGGAGCCCCTTCTTCCTCCTCCCCCGTCCCTTCCCCGTCGGGGCCGCCGCGCTCCTCGCGAGGCTCCGGTGGGCAGAGCGAGCGCCTTGCCATGTTTTCCCAATTACGGGAAATATGCGGCCGGCCTCGAAGTTTATATTAAAATATCGCAAGAAGCCTCCAACTCGCTCGCGGCCCGAGCCGCTTCTCCAGCATCCCGCCAAAGCCGCGCGGAGAACGAAAGCTCCGGGGCCCGACGCTGCCTCGCGGGTACCGCAGCGTGGAGGGACACCTCCGCGGATCCCCGGCGGAGCTGCCGGTCGGAGCCGGGCGGGATGCGGAGCCTCGCGGGTCGCCGCCGCCCTTTTGTTCGGCCGCGGGGTGCGGGCGGCATCCGCCGCGGCGGCTCCGCGGAGCGATTTCTTCTCGCGGGGCGAAGCCACGGCAACGAAACCCACGCGGGACCGCGGGCCGCGACCTGTTGCTGCGCTTCCGAGGGAGGAGGGCGCGGGGCCGGGCTGCGGGTGTTGGAGCGCGGCGGGCCCGGAGCCGAGCGGCTGGGCACGGCACGGCGGCGGCGGGGAAGGGCCTTCCGCGGCCTCGCGGCTCAGCCCCGCTCCCGGCCCGGCTCCCCGCCCGGTTCCCGGCGGCCGCCTGACTGCTTGTGTCGTGTCCAGTGTCCCCGGAGCTGAAAGAGCGCAAGGAGGATGCGAAAGGCATGGAAGACGAAGGGCAGACGAAAATCAAGCAGCGGAGAAGCAGGACGAATTTCACCCTGGAGCAGCTGAACGAGCTGGAAAGGCTTTTCGACGAGACCCACTACCCGGACGCCTTCATGCGGGAGGAGCTGAGCCAGCGGCTGGGGCTGTCCGAAGCCCGAGTGCAGGTAGCGCCGGGCGGACGCGGGTCGGGGGGCGACGACCACTCGGTGCCATCCGCGGGGCTCTCCCCGCAGCCGCTGCCCCTCGGTCCCGCTGTGCGGTTCGCTCTCGGGGGTGCCGTGGGTCGGTTCGTCGCCACGGAGAGAGCGTGACCCAGCGGGGATCCACGCGGTGCGGATGTTCGCGGTTGTGGCTCTTAAATCTGGAGGGCAAGGGGAGCGCGGGCCGGCTTTGTTCGGTGCGAAAGTCTGGGATCCGAGCAGATCCCGAGAAGCCGCAGCTTCCTTCGGCTGAACCTGAGCGGAACCCCCGGCCGTCTTCCCCGAGTTCCCCCAAATCCATCCCCGCGAGTTCCGCCGGGGCCGGCAGCTCCAGGGAGAGCGCTTCCCAAATTAAAACAAATGTCGGTGCCGCGGAGTATTTCCGTTCTAATAAGAACAGAAGAGAAAACGATGGTCGTGATTTGGTCGAACACATGGAGCAGCTTTAGGCCCCCAACATCTGCAGCTGCGGGAGGGCCGCGCTGTAGCGGATCCCCCCTTCCAGCCCCGTGCTTTCAGGCACCATCTGCACCGAGCCCGGGGGATCCCCGCGCCGCTCAGCGGGGTCAGAGCAGGGACAGAGCGCTCACATCGCACCGAAGAACCCCAAACAATCGACACCGTTTGCGGACGCCTCTCGGCCGCTCTTCCCCAGCTCCCCGCTCATATTATTTTTTTCCCGTCGCCGCAGCCGAACGAACCCAAACGAAATCAAAGCCAGAGAAGTAGTTCTGCTCGGGGCAGAGGCCGGCAGCGTTGCTCGCGGAGCTCAGCCCCAACCCTCACTAGAAGCACGCGCGGATATTTCCCCTTCTCTGCGCTGCTTTGCAAATCACGGACTGTGCCTCTTTCCACGGGAGGCTGAGGGCAAATACGTGGCTGCTGGACAGAATTGTCTTGACCGGAGTAGATGTGAAGGCGGGGGGGGGGGGGGGGCGGGGGTATTTTTGCCCCTTGAAGACGCCCCCCATATTATTTTTATTATTATTATTATTATTATTATTAATTTTACTTACAATTTGTCTGTTTGTTGTGGCCGTGGGGAGAGGCTCATGGGGCGGTTGCGGCAGCCTAAAGGCAGCACGGAACCCTCAGCTCCGGAGCTGCCGCCCTCTTCCCCACCTCCCCCGGCCGAGCAGAACTTCGTTCCGTCTTTATTTATTTCAACCATTCCATTTCCAATATTAAAAAGTCCGTTCGTGTCCATCGCGCAGCCCTTTCCGTGGCAGCAAATCAGATTATCATGATAATGAGACAATTATTCCGCCTGCGTGCCACACTCCGCTGCACAGAGGAACAGAGAAATTCCAACTTCTTTGTAGCAAAGCTTTGATGACAGTAATTACCCCCCAAAAGTGAGGCATTAAACACTTCGCTGTTCGTTTTTTTTTTCTTTTTCTTTTTCTTTTTTTTTTTTTTTTCCTTGACGATAAAGCTAATTAATAACACGGGCTATTAACGAGCGCGTTCTCCTCGGCTCCGACAGCGCAACCAAACCCATTACAACGAGCTGAGCTTAGAGCTGTTGGGAGGTTGTGGGGAGAGACATCAGAGACATCGGTGCGGTGGGGACCCCGGCTGGGAAGGGGAACTCGGGGCTGGGAAAAGTGGTTCGGCTACAGCGAGTGCCAATTTTGGGTCATTTCCCGAATTTCTCGCACCCTCATTGCCTCGTCCCTCACTCATCATTGGCACTCTCTTTGTCCTCCACTTTTTATTCTCGGTGGGTTTTATTTTATTTTTATTGGCCGTATCCCTCTTCGTGACCCCGTCCCCCCTCTGTGCCCCCAGGTTTGGTTCCAAAACAGAAGAGCCAAATGCCGAAAGCAAGAAAACCAGCTGCACAAAGGTACGGCCGTGCGTGTCCGGGGTGAGGGGGGGGGGAGCGGGTGTGACACGCGTGGGGATCCGCCGGGGCTGGGCTGACCCACCGCTGCCTGCAGGAGTGCTCATAGGGGCCGCCAGCCAGTTCGAAGCCTGCCGGGTGGCCCCTTACGTCAACGTGGGAGCGCTGCGGATGCCCTTCCAGCAGGCAAGTGTGCCCGTGGGGTGCGGGATATGGGGGCCGTGGGGTGTGGATTATTGGATATGGGGTGTGTAGGGCGCGGGGGGTGCGGGATGAGGGATGTGGGATATGGAGGATGTGGGAAACGGGTGTCGTGGGGTATATGACGCGGGAGGTACGTGTTTGGGATACTACGGGGCGCGGGGTGAGGGATATATGGGCTGTGGGACCCGGGCTTGCAGGAGATGGGGTGTAGGATATTGGTGGTGCGGGCTGCGGGGAGTGCAGGATATGGGGTGTGGGATATAGGGAGTGAGAGGACGCGAGGGATGCAGAACACGGGGTGTGGGATAGAAGGGACGCAGGACACGCTGGTGCAGGAGCGGCACTTGGGATGCGGGGTCGCGGGATACGGGCGGTGCGGGAGCGGGACGGGGACTCCGTGCGGTGCGTAGGACGCGAGGGGAGCAGCGAGAGGCGTGCGGGGTACGGAAGTGCAGGGCACGGCGGGTCCGGGACGCGGGGGGGGGGGGGGGGGGGGCGTAGGGCCCGGGGGGGGGGCTGCGGGCTTTGCGGGGCCGGGTCAGCGGTGCCACTCGCGGCCGCATGGCTCTCAGGTTCAGGCGCAGCTGCAGCTGGACAGCGCCGTGGCCCACGCTCACCACCACCTC